TTCTCTCTCTCTCTCTCTCTCTCTCTCTCTCTCTCTCTCACTCTCTCTCTCAAATAAAAATATAAGATTTAAAAAACTAAATATAAATAATAAGATTTATTTTTAAGTCAGAAGCTTTTGAAACTTTCAATGTTAAAAGGATTAAAACTAATACGCACTTTCTTCGACATAAAAATTCTTTTATTTAATTCAATAATTAATAATTCTTTCTTGTTATAACTGAAAATCTCGACTGATCGACATCGAGTAACGCGTCGTGGCGAAAATTGGCGAACAAACTTCGCGAGGCTTAATCCTCTCTTCGTGCATGCGCTATTACGTGTCATTAAAGCGCGACATCTTCACGAAGTGTGAAATCTAATATTCACGCCAAGTTGTTGCTTCAAGCGCGTGTCTATGTCTTTCGTATTCCTATACGGGTATGATACACCCACACATATCGTTCTGGGGACACATACGTGCGCCTGTCACAGGGGGAGAGAAGGAGAGAGAGAGCGAGAGAAGGAACGCGCGTTCGCGATTACTCCTACAGCCGTTAATCTTAACGGAAGGGAGTAGTGTTTGCATGGGGTGGACGGGTTAGGGGTCGCGCCGGCGGGTTACGGCTTCGGAGGTGAGTCAAAGACACCGACCGCGCCAATGCAGCGGTAATGCCCCCCGGTCAGGTGGGTTAACCGGCTTCTAACTTTGACCGACGCCGACCGACGCTGCCTGCGCTCGAAATCGGTCGATTAAAGCCGCTCACATATGTATACACGCCAATTTCGCACAATGCATTGTGTGTCGTTCAAATATGCAGAAACGTTAAGCAGGTATCTACGGGCGATAGGCACTCAAAGACGGTAGATTGGCGGTTTGACATTCGTGAGAAATCGAGTTTTAGCTTTTGTTATGATCCGATGCGCGTTAAAAATAAGATTTAGCACAAAGTAAATAAAACGTAAAACGTAAAACGATAATAAACTGGATTTATATTTAAATAACAGTTTTATATCATAAGCGCATCTTGATACATTATTTTAGACTATGTGTAAATTTTAAATTATGCACAAAGTCCATTTTTACTCTCTGAATGGAATCCGGCTAATAGATCTATTTCTCCTGTGAGAAGGTTAACGACACGTGCACTTATTGGAGAATGCATAGTGGCAAAAAGGTACTATAGATGCTCGCTTTTACAGTATCGGATTGCAATTCGGTATGTAGTGCTACAGTTTCGATGGACGGACGCACTATCGCTGACATCGTTGCACCAAAAGCGAATGCAACTGCTCTCAGTTGAATGGCAATACGATATGTATAGAGAGGATTGTATTATTTAACATCATTCTTTTGTTATATTATAATATTTTGCTTTTCTTTTATGATATTGTTGGTCTTTTATGATATTGTTCGTTTTCCAATAAAATTACATAGAGTCTTTAATTATGAAGAATAATAAATTAAATTATTCATGATAATTAATTTGTCACGTAAATCAAAGTTTACATTATTATATTATAGATTTTTATAAACAAAGTATTGTTTTAATTTTCTCTTGAAAACTTTAAAAATTTATTTCTCAATTTTGTATATGTACATTATTACGCCATACACGTGTTATATTTAGATTACTAAGATTTTAATAAATTATTTTTTTTTTTTTAATGTAATTATTAACATCTTTTTGCAATTAAATATCTAGAGTCGTCATTAAAGTAGAAAAAATTCCCGATACGCAGCGTTGTAAAGCTGCACGTTTAAAATGGTGCATACGTTTTAGCGAAATAACCCACGCTATAAAGTCATAACATTTTAAGTTGCACACGGAGCACGTGAGGAGACTTTTAATGGAAAATGTTACGGAGCTAGCTAGGTAAACGCGCGTGTTGCATATGTTTACGCACAATATCATTAGAAGTAAGTTCTGTGCATTTATGTAAACATGCGTGGTACATTTTTAAGCGTATTTTACGGAAAAATGGAGAGAAAATTTATAGAAGAAGTTTGATAGAAGTATAGATTATAGTTTCAAAAGCATCAATGGTATTTGACGCTTTTTCTCTTTGGTCGTCTTTGGAGCTCCTTGGTTTTCTATCTTACAAAGAGAATTTGAAATAATGATTTAGGTGATTCACTAAGAGAGAAAAATAGATTTAAAGTGGTGAATAACTGCATATTTGTGCAGATTACTCTTTTAGAATATAATTAAACTTTTCTTAATATAATGTGTGATTATAACTTTTAAATAATTAATTAAATTTGACTTATTAATTAAGTTTATTTAAGAAGATTTAGCAAGAAGGAATTTGCCACAATGATATCAGTGCTCTCTTGACATCTCTCTTCTCTAGTTCTCATACCTCAAAGTAATATCGTCTTCTCGCAGGAAGCAGTATCGCTAATTTGATAATTACTGGCGTACACAGTATACGACTACACTAACTTCCACAATATCAATTTGTATTATATTACGCAAAGGAGAGATGTATAATTTCATACAATATACATTATATATATAATTAAGCTTTATTTATATTTTATTCAGCTTATAAATTAAATTTATTTATATTTAACGTTTAGTATAGTTTAATTCTATCGCAAATATTCATTATAGATTTTTTCTTATGACGATATATGAAAATATTCTTTTTTGTGAGCGCAGGATTACGTTGTAATAAATCGCGCACGGCTATCTATCTTTTTTTTTTTTTCAAAACAAGTCGCGTTCTCGGCGTACGTAATCGAAACCCATCGCATATTTCTCGCACCGATACGGCAAAGAACGTACCCATCTCTCTTTTTCTGGTTGACACCAACGTTGCATGCGAGTTCTGCCCAGCAGCTACTAGTGTTTCTCGTCGCGAAACGAGCTGTGCAGTTCTGCACGAGTGAGCCCGAGCGCCGATTTGTGCCCGCTCTCGCGTCTTTTTATCCGACGAAATCTCGCGTGCAAGCGAGTGTCGGGAGTTGCCGAGTCGAATGACGGACGATCGCGATTAACGCGTTTTTTCGATGTTTGTTAATAACGTCGACGAGCACGGCTTGTAACGTCGAGAGACAGCGGCGGATTATTCAGATTCGACGATCCGGCTTTCTCCATCGAGTTGTCCACTCGATCAACCAAGTGTGCCCCGCACGCGAGTAATGTAATCACCATCTGGCCACGCCAGAACCATAGAGCTATATACCATACCGGTAACAGCATCCTAGACATTCCTGTACCATTGCGCGATCTGGTTGAGGAAGCTGGGGTCTTGCGCGTGAGAGAGAAATTCTCTCGCCATTATCAATAGGCTTTTAAACAGGGGCAAGGTATTCAGTAATTATATTTAAAGTATCTAAACTTTAATCTTGTTTAATTTCAAGTAAACATGCTTTGATAGAATTTTAATTACTTTATTATGCGGTAATTTCAATTGCGTTTGATAACATCGTTTTCACGAGAGACTGTTATGTGACGCGAATGCGAGTTAAAATTCCTCGACGCCGATCTTTGCAAGTTTGTGTTATTATTTTGCATTATGCCGTACCGACTCAATGGTCTATTGAAGTAGTCGAGTTATCTTTTATATAATTGCAACAATCTGTGATTTTACAACGCATTTAACGCTGAATATTACTGTTTAATTCTTATTTGAGTCTGCACAGCCAAAAACAATCCGATAAATAATTAAGCAGTTATTTTTTTAAAGAATAACAGAGCCAGATGTTCAGCCTCTTATCGCTTAAAAATATAAATATTGAATCGATACAGTTCCAATTTTTGTCTTGAATCCCTAAATAATTCTTTAATTAATTAATTTATTTTTTACTTTAATTAAAAAATATATTTCTGCTATATATTGCAGTTATTAGAGAATTGAACACGATTTAAAAAATATATAAGAACACATATCGGTGGAAGGATAATATTTTAGTGGTGCTAAGCGATAATCACTGTAAATTACGGCAGATAAATAATCATGTTTTCGATACACTCGCGCGGGCGCCACGGAATCAACGCTCAAAACTCCG